CACACACACACACACACACACACACACACACACACACACATTCGTAAACAGACACACACCACATGTGCATGGAAGGCTACAGAACAGGACGGAAACTCACATGACATCTGCTTAATCTAATCTCAAACTGGCAAAGCAGGAAGTTAAACAAGTCTGTTGAAAGCCGGTGTGAGCTGAGGAGAATCTCTTCAAAGAGGTGACTCACTATCAGCAATCTGTTCACTGCTCTACGCGTTTCATATTTTTGCCTCTTGTGTCTGGGAGAAGCCAAATATGTAAGAATGCTTTGATTGTGTGGGAAACCTTGTATCTTCAGGTCAAAGATACTTGAGAAGTATTATGAGTGAGGCTTTAATCTTCGATGACCTGCACCTCACCTCAGTTTCAACCCGCAGTCCCAGCTAAGAGAATAATGAGACAAAAGATCAACAACACAATTACTCGTATTAATCTTAATCCCACATATCCCACCTTCTTTGCTGCCTTCGATGGCGACCTCCTGGTGGGCTTCTGCACCTGGCCGCTCAGCGTGATCGGCTGCTTGGACACCGAGCCGTTCTCCCGCTTCTTGCCAGGGGTGGATGGAACTGAGGACGGGGACGGGGATGCTGGGGGAGAGGATGAAGAGCCTGTCCCGACAACAGCCATCTCCTCTGTAGCCGTGAGGCGCAGGCTCCGCAGACTTTCGTGTGTCTCATGGTCCACCACTAGCAACCTGGTCTCGTGGGCTACGGCTTTGATCCACTGTACCACCTGAGGGGTGGGAGGGTAGTTTTTGTTTTAATTTACTGGTTTGGTAAATGCACAATATTAGAGATGTTCCAATACCAACAGAAATGCCTCCGATACTGACACTGTGTCAGCATCAGCAGCTTCATGAATCTATGTGACGATCCGATACCACGTCTTTAAAGTATTTTGTGTGTTTTACTGAGATAAAATTGCAATTTTCTTAGCCCAGAGATCACTTCTTCTTCACTCTCTCCAAAAAGCTGCTTTACTACCACTGGCGAGTGTTTTTAGAGCGGAAAAAAGAAAGTGATTTCTGGTTGTGAAGTGTTAGCCGAAGCTAGCTAAAATGTCAGCGATTTGGCGCTGGAAAGTCCCCGTGTAAACTTTGACATGTATGTAAGACTTTAGTTTCAAACTATATTTATATACTTTTTTCAGTTATTACAGTCAAACTAGATGATAAAAGAAGTTCTATGACATCATTCTCTGTATGTATTTGTTTAAAAAAAGGTTTAACCTGAGCCAGGCCACTACAACAACACTCACTTCCATACAGAGTTGTTAGCTTCCAGCTATTAAATAGGCAATTTATTATTTTTTCAAATATCAGATTGGTATTCAGGATCGGCAGATATGCAAAGCCCAGGTATCTGAGTCCATATCCGGAAGGGAATAATTGTATCGTAACATCTCTAGACAATACATAAACTTATAAATGTGTTGTGAGTACAACTGTTGTGAGAGCATCAGACACAAAGTTGCAGAGAAACGTGCACCAGGACATGTTGGTGCTGATCTTTCAGTGTCACATTCACAGATATCTGAAGACATTTGCAGGATTAACTGTGGCCTGCTGATTTCCACCAGGTAAGAGGAGTGAATATGTGGAACAACAATATGTGTGTGTGTGTCTATATAGTTTCATAACAGTTGATAACTTGACTAATGGTTCCTCAGAGCTGGAGCAGGGTGGTCGTCCCATAGACACACACACTAGCCCCGTGTGACCTGTTGATGTCCCCCTGCCTGCACATGCGTCCTGTGGCATGAGTGAAAAAGTCTTCTACTCACCTGATGATGCGTCTCCTTCTCCACGTTCACCCCATTCACGGCCACCACTCGGTCCCCTGCGCGCAGCCCCGCCGCTTCTGCGGGGGAGCCGGGCTCCACTTTGCGGATGAACTGTCCGCTCTTCCCTTTCTCGCCATGCAAGTGAAATCCATACCCGTTGTCCCCTTTAGCCATGACACAAAGCCGCGGTTTCCGCTCGCTGGCCATGTCGTTTTAAACCTCCTGCAGAGTTCAGTCAGAGTATGATGATCAGAACGCAAAGATGGGAGTTTGGGTTAGGAGAGCGAGCGCACGGCTAAACTTCCACAGAGCGAAAACATGTCTGCCCATTACGCACGCACGGTCTCCCCCATAGTAGAGCAACACAAACAAAGTCCTCAATGCTCAATGTTCTCCAGAGAAAGAAATCCCACTGCACTGAAAGAGGCAGCAAAGTTAAAACTTTAAAAAAACGATGTAACCGATCCACCAGCTCGTGTGTGTTGGGTCCAAACTGACGCGCAACGCTGGCGACTCCAAAAGTGATCACTCAGCCTGCAGGGGATCCTCAGCATCAGCGCTACCGCAGACGTGTTCAAGTCGAAGAGTTGACCTCTCCCTCGACGTTTATCATAACAACTGATCGGGGGAAAATACGCATTGACTCAGAGCCTATACTGAGGTTTGCGCCCCGGTGCGCCAACAGCACCATCTACCTGCAGCCAGGCTACCTGTTGGTTTCTCATGGGGCGCAGAAAGTGTTCAGGGCAGAGAGACAGAAGATTCAGAATGATGCAACAGTGTCCCCGGGTGGCAGGAGACTGGTAAGTGAAGAATGTCCTTGTATAAACCAATGTGTGCTTTTTTCTATAGAGCAGAACTGTAGGCTAAATGTGTGCATATATGTTTAAAACAAGAGAGACTCATACATCCAACAATGAATATGAACATTTGAAGTAAAGTTAAATCTTTTCTGAACAGGAGGAATAGATTGTAGAACTATGAATTAGTTACTTCAGATATGTTTTTATCAGTTGACAATAGATGCAAAGCATAAAGTGGTCGTTTTTGTGTTGGGCGACAAGAGCAAGAGGATCAGGAGGAAGAATCCCACCAAGGCTGATGATAACATTTCTGTGGACCACACAATACATTGGCTCCTCACAAACGATGTATAAAGAGAGCTGAAGCCTGTGCAGCTTATTTAGTCAAGTTTATTTATGACGCACATTTAACACAACCAGGGTCAACCACAGTGCTCTACGATAAAAACACAAAGAAGTACAAGAATAAGGAAAAGGCAGAAATGTATATAAAATAATCTTAGAATGGACCCTTTATATTTAAAACTTTTCAGAAGCTCAAACTGGACACACTAAACACCTTTAGAGTTTTTATGACAACTGAAGCTGCCACAGGTTCTCTGTCATGTTTGGAACGGGAGGGGGAGGGGAGGGGTATGCAACTGCAACATGCAACTTCACCACTAGATGTCAATAAATTCTACACACTGAACCTTTAAAGAATCGGAGTGAAGGTGAGGTCTGGGTTGGAGGAGGGATTCACCTGTCTGTGCAAGGGGAGGAGTTTTGAAGGGGGAAGTTATTTAAGGCCTGGGTGTGGCCAGTTAGATCCTTTTGTTTGGGACCATGTGGCCGAGCACCAGTACGTTTGTTTGATTCTGTCAGTTGTTTAAGTATTCATTTTCTACTCATTTTATTAAGTTTATGTTTTCTGCACCCTAACCTACTTTGTGTTTTTGATCTTTATTAGCCCCTAATGTTTGGTGATATATGAAATTAATTAGTTTCTGGTGCTTTTGTTGTCTTAATGGATGCATGATTAATGTAAGTACTCTTAGGTAGATTTCTTCATTTTATTCACATGGTCATGAGTTTAAATTGTTTTTTTAGACATTCATTCAACATCTATCCATTCCTCCAACCATCCACCTTTAATATCAATATATACTTATTGACCCAGTTTAACTAACTGAGTTTAATCACTTTTGTCTTTTTCAGTGGGTGTTGAGAAAAGCTGGTGTGCGTCCTCCATGTCTCTCCCTCCTGAAAGGCTGGTGACTTACAAGCATCTTAAATTTGTTTTTTGCTGCTTTTTTCCTTTGTGTGGAACAAATGCAGGTTTAGGTTTCCTCTCATGCTTTGCTCATTCTAAGTTATCATTAATAAACAGTTTTCTCTCTCAAATTGTCACTGCTTGGACTCCTGTCTTTGTTCAGGGTCTCTTATGGGGAGCGGCCATGTTCATCTTTAACAGTCAATGGTTGAGAAATTCAGAAAGTGCTGATGTGGACCACAAGAGGTCAGGAGTGCAGTTTTAAAGATGTCCAATGTTGAACTAGTTTAGTCAAAATCCATGGTGAGCTTTCATATGTAGCTGTTAGCAGTGAAAGACAATACTATAAGTTCCAATGTGATGTAGATGGATTTCGCTCAGTAATGTATAAAATGACGTTGAGCTTCAGTTACACAACAGAATGAGAATACATGTGCTGCATGACCTGATGTGAATAAAGCCCTGTGTCTTGTTTGCGATATGGAGACGAACATGTAGCATTTACAGAGCTCGTCACCTTGTTAGAGACTTTACGTTACCTGACCATACACTGAAACACTGTTTTTCATAACATCTTGTCTGTGCCAGTGACTGGTAAAGTATACAAATACTTATATTTGGGTACTGGGGGAACAAGATGTGAAGTGATGGAATATTAAGAGCTAATATTGTTTATCTACCAGATCCCTATTCCAGTATTAAGGGAGTATATGTGAACCACTGAGAAATAATCTGGATGTTTCAGGGAAGATTTGACTTCTGCATCACCTTGGATATCATATGGATGTGAGTTTAAAGTTTCTAACTTGAAAATTAACCCAAAACGTGGGCCTTTATTGGCAAACATCCGTTGCTCCTGACAAGGTATAATCTGGATGTGAAACTAAGGTGGCTCAGGTGGTAAATGGTGAATCTGGATCAAATAGTATGGTTTACCTTTCGCCCCAATCTAGCAAACAGGAGGGAGTGACATCATTTCTTTCAGTATGTTTGCTGGATAATAGTATTCGATGTCAAGGTCTGGTTTGCTGTGTGGGATACATCTGATGCTCTGCAGGTAAACTACATTATTCCTTTTGTAATTGTGATGGGGCCTGTTCAAAATGCCTCTGGGGCTCTGGTTTTGATGGATACTGTCGGCCACACCAGCTTTTAGACACTTAAGCTGTTTACGACCTTAAAGCTCATCTGTCCTGGATGTGCCATTTGTGTCTTGGATGCAAATCGCATGTTTTAAATTTTCTCCTGATGTCAAGTGTTTGACCATACACCTCCTCAGTCTTGACCTTTTACAGCTCTGTGCACATTCATTCTTTTAGGGTAACTGCATGCAGGCTGTAATTTAAAGCATTGTTAAATCCCCTTTGTTGCAATGTTTGCTTATATAAACGGTTTATTTTGTGCCAGTTGATGAAAAAATACATTGAAATTTGCCGCCCAATAGATGCAGCTTATAAGTTACATCCATCTTACCAAAAAGGCCAGTGTAATTCCAGTTAGATCCAACAACAGCTTGTCATTATTATTTGATATCATTTACTATCATTGTGCATCCTACAGACCTTCCTGTCCACAGGCTGGTCCAGAGCATCATTTCCTCCATTAGCTCCTCTGGGGAACACATGCAAATCAGTGTTTGTCTGCTCTGGTGGTTTCTTTTCACCCACTCAACAAATGGTCTCATCTTTCATACATCAGTTTTCAGGCAGGTGGAGACAGGAAGGATCATTTTTGTCAGTACAGCACAGATTGTATTTAGCAGGGAAGATGTGCTGTTGCCTCTGATTGAGGACAACGCTTTAACCAGCAAGGTTACGAATGCCTGCAAGTGTTGATACTCTGACCTTTTCCTGCTTTTGGAAGGTGATGGGGGTTCGTCAGTCGTTTGTCAGCATCTTGCTCTGTCACCCACTGACACTGCTTGATTATCAGCAAAGACTGAGATATTTCTTTCAGTTGCTCTGTGTTTACATTAAAGAAAACAGAGGCTGCCATCGGGGGGGGAATCCCCAGGAGAAAGTCCAAGTTTAGACTTTGTCAAAGCTTCAGCTGAACGGCTCCATAAGTCAGCAAACACACAGGACCCACACAGCATCCGCAGCAGGCTGGTGACAAATCGAAGCTCTGCAGGACAGTTTAGCAGATTTTTGATGTGGACTTCACAGCTTTATCTCTTTTAGTAAAAAACCTGTTTGACCTGGTGTGATAGCTGGTGACACACTCACTGCTGTGAGGAAAATGCCACTTGAAGTTCCAGCAAGCATCCATCTTTGTTTCTGATGAAAAAGCACAGGACTCCTCTTCCCTCTGATCCTGTAAGTGACAAGAAGCCTCACTGCTCAAACCGACTGAGCTGCACGAGACTGTGCACCGTGCAGGACATTTTAATAACACTCATAACTTATTGATTAATGCCTCTGCCCTGAAAGTCTGCACACAGTGATAAGACTAAAATCATATACAATTCAAAACTCTACCATTTACTCTCCTCTTTAATCGTACAGTAATCACATCAACATTACTGAGTCTCTAAGGATCTTCGGTCTCAAGATTTCTTATTTTTTAACAGATTGTTTTGTAAAAAAAAAAGAAAAAGAATGCCGTGCAATGTAATCGTTTGATTCTGTGTTACTATCAAATATATTCATCTTACCTTTCCTCATTTCCACTGTGTTTCGATCAGTGGCATCGCCCTGTGAGAGGAAAAAAAATAACGGACCTTGGAAATAATGAGGGAGCTGTCAATCAATGTGGAACAGAGTACAACAAATCCATAATGGTCTTAATTGAAATTCTGCACACAGGTGACATGTTCGATCACTGTAATTTGTGTTGACATCACAATAGGTTCTGTTCTATGAAAGGTTACCAACCTTTGCTAATGGCAGCTATCAGGGAAGATTGTGTCCATTTTGCAAAACTGCTGTAAAGTCCCTGTTAAAATAAATGTATATAAAATATACATGCAGTTTAAATCAATACCTCTGATCTTTCCTTTAATCCACTTTAAAGAGAAGATGACTTAAAAATAAGATCCAATGATTTTATACAGTGAATTGATCACACATGGTCTTTCTCAATGGAGGTTATTTTTCATTGTTATTATATTAAAAACCTGTATACAAAGGAATATGGTATATCATTAACAACATGTAAAGCATAGTAAATGCACATAAACTGTATAAATACAAAAAAAAATGATTTATATATATGTAAATAAATATGCATGGGAAATGAATGAATGAATAAATGTTTTATAGATCATTGTATATAAAAAATGTGTATATTCACATAGAAAATAAAAAGCAGATGTACTTGCAATTTAACAAAGATCCAGATTGATTTGAGTATTGGTTCATAGGTTATTTAACAAGTTAAGATATTTGCATTGATTTAAATTTCAGCATTTTTTCCATATGTCTGGGGTCAGATCAGAAAATAATTAACCTCTATAAAGTACCAGAAGCTGAACATCTGTAAACCATAACTCACCCCAAACTTAAGTTGTGTTTGCCAGCACTGGGCCCAGTATTAAACAAAATTCTCCTCTAACGTCTCTTTCACCTCCACCAAAATAAATGCTCAAATTCCTTTCTTCACCACCACGCTAAGTGACACGTAGTTTATTTGGTGAGATTATAATCCCCCCTTCCTCCACTTGTGTGTCTCGTTGACATCACCTCGATCCTACTGACTTCCCAGTGTCAACAAACACACCTTGTGGGCCACACCAGTCGTATATATTTGGACAAACCCATTTTCTCAATTCATGCAAAAAAGTTTGTATTTATGTTGCGCTTTTCTAGTCCCACCACTCAAAGCACAGTTCTACCACTCAGCCATTCACACAAACATTCATTCAGTGTGTTTATGTGCAGCACTTTCTCTATCACACATCACTGACCAACATTTGCCTGCTTTAAAATCATTCCTTAGATTTTAAAAATCATTTTAATGCCAGATTTAAACTGTTTTTAATGGATGCAGTTTGTTTTTAATATTTTCTTTTAGTTATGTTTCTTATTTTTGTCTGTCTTTCTTGTTTTTGTGTTTTTGTAAAGCACATTGTAAGTTTTCTTCTTTTGTTTCTCCTCTTCCTCCTTTTCTTCTTCTTCTTCTTCTTCATATTATCATTATGATTGTTATTATTATTATGTCTCTTGTCTTGTAGTCATGTTTCTTCTTTTTGTTTTGTCTTGTTTTGCTCTCTTTTGTTTTATTCCCATGTATTTTGGTAAGCACTGTGTAACCTTGTTTACGTCAAGTGTTATTATCTATCATTATGTCTCATGTCTTTCTCCCACTCAATATTATCTTCCACTTAAAACTTGTCCGACTGATTTCCTGGAGGCGGCACTGAGGCCAGAACACAGCCACTGCAGCCAGCTGCATTAATCGGTTTTGAAAATCCCAGTTCTTTTACTTGACATTGAGATACATGGAGCAAAAGCAGAATGACGACTAACACAGAGGTAACCAGAGGCCACAGGAGATCCAGAGTGTGTTTCTACCCCCACAGCCTGCCATGGAAACAGGTTGTCAGTAAATACATGTGGAATAAGGGCAGAGAGGGAAAACAGAATTGGTTATGGAGAGAGAAAATGGAAAAGATACACAGCTGAGTTTCTGAGGAATAGAGAGATTAAAGCAGCAGAAAAGGAAAACCTCAATTACAACCTTAGATTTGTTGAATCACATCCATTCAGTTATCTATGTGACATAACATATTTCCATCTAAACAGCAATTAGATATGACCTCTTACCAGATTAGTGGCTGCAACACATAACTGCACAATATGTCTCAAAATGTGCATTTGACCTAAATTCATTATTGCTGCTTCAGACACTTTGGCCACAGGGAACCTTTAAAAAAAGCTCATCTGAAATTAGTGTTGCCTTTCTGTCATGCAAAGCTTTCTTACTTCTCCACGTGATAAAACTAAGACGTGATTACAACACGTGTGACCAATTTATAAATACTATGGATATACGTTTTCCCTGAACCTCACTGACATTAGCTGAGGTCGCAGATCGCTACTCAGTCTGTCACATTGGCTGTTACAGGCGTCTACTTTCTGCATTTGAACAGACAGTTGTTTGTGGCTTCTGGTTTGCACGAAATAAGTTGTTTTGAAAGAAAAAGTTCAAAGTATCTAAAGCTTTAAAGATGCTGAAAAAATGTGGATTGATTTGCTCCTTCAAAAAAATCCAGCATCATCAAATTCGATTTGACCAGATTATTATATCCATCCACTTACTATACCTGCTATGACTTCACTTACTATGGTAGCTGTTCATTTCTGTTTAGATTTATACATCATATGTACACGCAATATTGATATAGAGGTTTTTAATTTCCACTTAAATAAATCATAATGAATTACAGATTAATTTTACTTTTGTTTAATATAAAATCTACTGTGTTTTTCATTTGCACATTAAAAATATATTTCTATAAGTTCCTATACCAGGCTCTGGGTTAACCATGCACATTTATATATTTATTTTTATTATAATATGTGCCTTCCAAATCTGTCTTAACAGCAAACTTAAAGATGGGAACCTATTTAAAAGGCATGTATGTATATTTACTATTTATACTTTGGACAATATGCACAATATACACTGTTTTCGGACATTGTTTTAATTTATTAACATTGCTAGATCATTATGTTGGGGAAAAACCAACCAACAAACCAAACCCCACCACCAACAACAAATAAAAGTTATGGAAACTTTTAACCATCTCTCTATACTATGCTGGCTACAGATTTTCTGATTGTACATGTTTTATTGGTAGTAAGAGTCATCACACAAAATACACATCTCTCATCTTCTTCCTCCATCCGATGTTGCATAAAACATTTACTGCAAAATCGTACTAAGACATTAACAAAAATCTGAAAAACAAAACAAAGCTGGTTTACGTCATGGATGCAAGACAACGACATTCAAGTGTAAAGCTGCCAATTTTCTGTTTTAACTGGAACTATTGATAAAGTGCCTCAGTCTGAAACATAAACCTGCCATAATCTTCTTTAATCACAGAAACAATTTATTGTTGATTAATAACCATAACCGTGTTATTTAGTTATCTGAGAATGTCATGACTCCGCAGGCTGTTGAAAATGATCATTTTAAAATTCACAGTTTCAAACAGAAGTAAATTGTGTCCATATTTCGGTCTTTTCAAATGAGCTCAAATTTGCCATAAACATTGTGGACATGATCTTTGCTTGGATCAAGTTACAACTATGGAGATGCAACAGTGTCGTCCAGCACATTCCCAATGATGTGGGTATCAAATGTCAGCGTTGACAGTCCAGTCAGGCCGAGATAAACAGTGAGTACTGGACATGTTGCAGAGGATGGAAAATGAGAGGGCATTACTTGTTTGTGTTGTTTCAAGGCCCCTTTCACAGCTTTGTGACATTACCAGCAAAAAAAAACAAATTGTTATGGTAATCAAATTTTTTTTTATCAGCTTTACAATAACCTGCAGAACAGTTCTGGTTATAGCACATCAAATGAAATACTGTAAATTCTCAAATCAGAGCACACCAGACAAAAACAACTCTCACTGAAATATGATCAAATATAAAAATGAATGAAAAATATGCCTGTTTCACAATAAAAGTCTGGTTCTGCCCAAAGCTTTTTGAGAATATACAGGATTTAAAGCGCTCATGACTTTTGAGATCATACATCGATACATAAACTCTGAGGCCTACAATGCCGTCAATATAGTAACAGTACAAACAAAAATGCTTTGTGAACACTGTAAGACATTTTCTCTCCAGGATTTCTCCTCTAGTCCTTTTTAAGAAATGTCCCAATCAGAGGGGAAGGATCAGCTTTAAAGACTGGACGTATCAAATGATAAAATATCCACGGGTAAACTGTTTAGTTCCATGTGGTAGTTTCCACACCAGTACATGGTGGGTCGTAGCTTTCACTGGCCATTCACTGCTGTTTTTGAGGCGAAAGGCTCCGTGTCAAGGTTCCCAACAACCTCCATCTGGACAGACTGAGGAAACACACAAATACATTGTAGGACATTACAAAGACAGAAGGAGAAACATTATCACTGATGGTCTGTGTAACACTTATCACTTCATTATTAATAATTAATTATAAAAGAACAGAAAGGTGATAATCAGAAAATCCAAATTTAGAAAAACAAACATTGTGGTTAACTTTGGTTGCATTCAGTCTGTCTCTCATCTGGTCTGTGGTGCTGACGCCATTTGGTTTGTAGAAGCAGAGCACTTTCTGGAAGCTCTGCTTGAAGTTGTCGGAGAGGAAGCCGTATAGGATTGGATTGGCGCAGGAGTTGACGTAGGTGAGGATGACCAGGGAGAAGTAGACTGTGGCCGTGGCATTGCTCTCAGGGATGATATAAACCAGGTTGACAATATTTGCAGTAAAAAAGGGAAGCCAGCAAAGAACAAACACCAAAACGATGATCACCACCATACGCGTCACCTTGCGCTCCGACCTCCGTCGCTTAGTCAGGCCTGCACGCACACCTGCAGACCTCACCTGAAACACAGATGGTGGATTTAAAAGGCTTTATGAGATAATTTTCAATTGACATGATCAAAAGCAGGAGTCCTGGTTTATCTGACCAATTACCTTGATGACAATGATCAGGTAGCAGAGGCTGATGACAAAGAGCGGACCAAAGAAGCCCAGGATGGATGTGTAGAGGATGAACACAATGGACCACAAATCATTTGGTTCAGGCCAGGTTATGTTGCAGGTGTTTAACTCCGTCTGTACACCTGAGTAAATGGTGACTGGCAGCCCAATCAGGAAGGACACAACCCACACCATGACATTTAAAACCTTGGCCACCTGTGGCTTCCGCCATTTGGAGCTGCGAATAGGATAAACCACAGCCAGGTAGCGATCAATGCTCATTACCGTTAGGCAAATGGTGGAGCTAAACTGGCTCATGGCGTCAGCAGTCATGTACACCTTGCAGAAGAAATCCCCAAATGGCCAATAGGAAAGTGCACTATTAGTGCCAAGGAAGGGAATTCCCAAGATGTAGAGTTCGTCCGCCAAGGCTAAATTGAGGATGTACATGTTTGTGACAGTTTTCATCTTGGCGTAGCGGACCACCACATAGATGACCAGTGTGTTACCCAGAAATCCCACAATGAAGACGATGGTGTAGATGACAGCGGTGACCATGCTGAAGGGCATTGGCGCAGGCACCTCTGAGGAATTGTTGGTGTTGTTGGGGTAGAGATGGGAGGAGGTTCTTGTGAAGTTCTCAGATGTTGATGTCCAGTTGAAACCGTCCATGTTGAAGGAGGGAGTGCTAAAGCCTGCTTGGAAATAACTCACGAGAGAAAAGACAGACACAAACTACAATTATTATGTGGAATACACTGCAACAACCAATAACTGGAGAGATGCTCTACTGTTCTGTACATTCCTGTGACAGATAATTGCACCTTCCCCACTGACACGATGGCCATATTCACCAAGAAAGAAGAGAAATGTTCAAATACAAAATATGTTCTATGTAACTGAATTAAATGTCCTGAATGGAGGGAACAAATACCTTTGGGGAGTTTGAGTGCAACGCAGGAAAATATACATGGACTGAACATATTTTGCAAAAGTTAATGACTTGGTTAAGTGGACACGAATCCTCAACTGGGGTTCAAATGTATTGAATCATTGTTTCCCAGTCGAGTCCATGTGTGGTGCAGACTGAGAGCAGAGTTCTATGGTGGAGCTTCTGTTGAAAGATGAAGTTTTACCACACTGTGCGTAAAGATTCATCAGGAAGTGAAGAGTAACACAAAGACACATGATGACTTTACAGATGCCACTCCTTTCATGCAATTGCACAGTTTGCAACAGCAAATTAAGAGTCAACTTGAGTCAAGGGGACTTTCATACCCCATTCAAATCATAGTTTTACTTGTTTACTGTTATAAATATACAGGTTAGCATTCACTTATTATTTGATCTTGATCTTAATGAGGACAGTCACTTTTATTTGTAATTTCATTTTATGTTGAATTTTAGGATTTGATCTATTCAGTGATTCGTTAATTTCTTTCTGCAGTTCAAGCTAAAATAAAAATAGATATATGTTGGTATAACTTCCTTAAGTGTCTTAGGAAACTGTGAGCACTGCTCCATATTTAGTTGTGTAGGAATCCAAAATAGACACAAATGCATTACAATCCATGCTCTTCCATGGTGAGGGTGGCCTCCACATGTCCTCACCTTGTGGTTGACCTGAGATAATCATGACCATCATATAACTGTCAGTTGTCAGACATTGCAAACCGAGGCTGAGCAAACGTGTTGCACAAATAAATGGTGTGACGCGCAAATTCACTGAACCGCGCTCGTAAAAACACGGGAGTGACGCGCAGCCCGCAGCGTGTTGTTGCGAAAACAAAGACTCCGAGTCCCCTTCGGAATACATCGGGCTTGACATTTTTGTCTAACAAATTATAAAAAGCTATAGCCCATAGACATGGGCACCAATTAAATCATGCCCGGGTCATTAAATGTGAGTTTAATAAATCAAACATTAAGTGTAAACCCACACAACCTCTGTTGGGAATCATACCACTACAATAAATATGGTAACAACTATATTTAAGATGTTTCACGCCCGCATCAGGAGATTAAATATGATTTGATAAACATACCTGTGCGCTCCCGTGCGCCTTTTCCTCTCCACTATGCGCTGCTGCGATGCGCGTCTCCTGAAGTATTCACACGTTGGCTGAGGTTAAAATCTGAATCCCTCGCTCTTTTCCCCTCTTCGCTTGAAAGAGAATCCACCTTAAACTTGACTTTTCATGTTGACGCATTTCCTTGATGTCAGCACGATGAAAACTCCATCGCCAGCAGCACAAACAACGTTATGTTTAATTCTCCAGGACTGGTCACCTCTCAATCCTCTGCATGGTGAAACACCGTCCTCAGCTCCTAACAAGTCACCCACGGGGTGTTTATGTGCCTCCACGCACTGCCAGTATTTATGTGAAGAACGTCACCCAAGCATCCTCTGAATGTCCCACCCATTCACCTCACTGCCAAAACCACTGTACTGCGTATAAGCTCACACTGCAGCCATCTTTTTCTTTCTTTTCTTTTCCTGTGCAGCAGAGACTTTAGCTGAAGTATTTCAGTCAGTCATGAAAAAGAAAAAAGACTAACTTTCCTTGCTGTGTGTGAAAGACAGAGAGATGCATAGCCCATATCCACCTTGGGGGTGACCTGGTTGGCACCTGAGACAGAGGGAGAGAGGAGATAGGACGAAGTGGGACAATGGTGGTGAGATGATGAGATTTCATATTGAGTGAGGTATTTGATGGTTATTGCCTTGGAAAGCTGACGACTTTTAAGCAGTCGGCTTCATGTTGTTGTCATTCAGGTCAGACACACACAAGCCCAACAAACACTTTAGATACATGTGTTTCAAGGGGGCACACACATTACATTTCTGCGATGTGACAGAAGAACCCACTTGTCAATAATTGTGAATCTTTTTGTAACTGAGAAGGTCAACAAAGTCACTTGCCATTATTGAAATAAAAGGTCAAGTGAAGAAGTCAAGACAAAACTTGACTTTTGTTCCACAGGAGTTGTTGATGCAGAAATAAGATCAAACTCAAGGGAACACACATTAGAGAATTCACTAGATCCAGATGTTTATTTGGATCTGCACCAAATGTCTAACACTACATCTGTCCTGCAGTGTTGCTTAATCCTGGTAACTGACAGACAGACAGAGAGACAGACAGACAGATGAAAACATAACAGCCTTGGTGGGGGTATATGCATTTAAAAGGTCAAAACTGAATAGCACTCAAAGCCCATCCCTCCACCAAGGCCAAATAAATCTATACAAGCTCTATACAGAAAAATAAAAGGGGAAAAGAGGTTGTCGATAATCAGTACTTCAGTATTAAACTGCTGCTGATTGTGTGAGAGTATATAATAAACCATGGACCTGCCATAGTGCAGCCAATAAAAAAGTCTCCATTTTTAAATATCCAGATACAGCAGCTCATTTTTATTACATTATACAGCAGTGATCTAATTTCATTGTTAGTCTCATCTGAGCTAATCTATAGAGCAAAGTACTCCCACACTGCATGCACAAGCCATCAATGATGCATGACAGTCTATTTGCAGTTGTAATTAAAATGAAAAGAATTCACCAATACACCTGCACAGTAGTTGCACAAGCATGGATATTATTGTTTTCCGTCCACATCCAGCTCTTTATATCTTCAAATTGAATTGCATGGTTCATAGTTTTGATTGTAAAAATATTTGAAATTGCATTGATTAGATATGAATTTGATTTAATTTCAGGTCTGTATCTGCAAGATGTTCAGAAATCTCTGAGAGAATCCGACAGCTACTGGACACAGGACTACATTAAAAAACAAGCAATCAATCATTTTTTCCTCCGCAGAAACAAGCCCCGTTCTTTTTCCCAACTTTCTCTCCCTTGCTCAGATGAGTGACACCTGCTTCAGGCAGTTTTCATGCACCTCTCGCCTTTCCATATAAAGCTTCCTCTCTGTGGGCTTGTGCAGGGAGATTATGTTGGGGTGGTGTCAAACATTCTGGCAAGGATTGATGGAGCACAGAAGTGCAAGTCAAGGGTGTGGGGTCGGTGGCCCAGAGGAGCTGTCATGTGGAGACTGAAATGTGTTTGTGTGCTTGAGTGTGGAGCTAACGGGTGATTGGAGGTGAAAGACAGAAGAACAAAATGGATGAGGTGATGTCCAAAGAGGCGACTCTGTGGCTCACAATATGGGCTGAGGTCAGAGGATGAAAAACACATGTCTCTGTTGTGAAGCTGTTTTAATAGTGAACACTGACAGCATATGAAAATAAACTCTTGTGAAAAGTGCCTTGAGTTAAGTGTATGTATGTGAGAGAAAAATCTATTATGTAGCCAGAAAATATGATAGAACTTGTGTAGTTATGTAGAGAAACACTTAACTTACCCTAGCCCCAAACCTTTAGTATCCATCTGCTGTCAAATCTGTAAAAGACGAAGTCATGGCCACAAGCGTTTGTCTTTTAATCTCCATGTCCTTTTAGGTCCATGTTCTTTTAATGTGGATAAATTACATACAGCTTGATTTGATCGTTGATGGTTTGACCCTGCAGACCTGTATTTCACAGTTCTTTAAAGCTGTCTGGGCTGATTGTCCAGTTTGGGGTTCTGCGTATGAGTCAAGCTTAAAAAAATGTTGAATAAACAGGTGAACAGCTCTTTTTGCAGCAGAGGTGGCGAGGCGTCAGGGTTCTGCAGACAGAGGCCTGCAGTCTGTCTTTACTTTGCTTGGCTTGATTCCTGCAGGACACTTTTACAGTTTCAGAAAGAAAACTGCAGCCAGCTTCAGCAGAGGCCAAACACAGCACAGGTGTTTATAAGAGTACAGAGCTGTAAGGTCTGTAAGGGCTGTAAGGTGACCAATAAAAAAAGGCGTTTGTACAAATTAATTATTAGCAACTCCATAATTGTAGCTAATTACAATACAGCATTCACTTTGATGCAGCTCTTTAAAGGAACCAGTAAACTCCACTATAATTAATCTTAACAATGCTCTTCATGGTATGTGCATTTTTTTTTCCTGTCACACTTTTGAATTAGCCCCAACAAATTGGTGGCGATTAATTTTCACAATGTCCAGAAAGTGGTTGAGCGTCTTTGATTGCTGCACAGTTGAGTCAAAGGTCACTAATCAGAGGGGAAGTTTAATGGACGATAATGACCATAAAAAAGGAAACAGAGTAGGTGTGAAAATGAATGAGTCATACGCCGCTAACCTTTTAAAGCTATGGTTGTCTGCTGGACTCACTTCGGTGGATCACAGCATGGGGCTCAGGCAAGGATGCTGAAAAACTGCTTGTGTTTCAGGGAAATGTATCATGTCATCAACTACAACATGCACATATAGGCAACATGTGTGATTGCATGGATATACTCACATTGATAACAATCATACTGGCTGATTTCAGCTCAGACAATCAGATATTTAATTTAAAATGCAGCTTAGACTCAACCAGCTTTGACATGCTGCCACTGCACTCTGATGATTCTACCCTGATCGGCCTGAGTGGGAATTAAATTCAAAGATCACATTTTGTTTCTTCACCACGAGCCAGATTCTATGGGACATGAGAGGTGATGCGTCTTGTCACTAATTGTCCCAAAGGGAACCTGCATTATTTTTGGACCATAAGGATGAAGTGCTCCTTTTTTTTTTGTCACAGAAACCTGAGGTTACTCTTCAAATGAGTAAGAGGAGGTTTTTTTTGGTTTGTAAGGACGTTAGGTTAAAAAAAATTATGATGTTAAAGCTAGTGTTATATTTATTGTTGATGAGACAACACAGAGCCGTGGGTAGAGCATCAGTTTTTAAAAGTGTGGGGGTTCTAATGGTGATACACAAGCCCTGTAAACCCCCACCTTTGGATAAGTCTCCACAATTTACCCAGTGTATTAAAAGGAATACCATGCATTTCAACATTTACTTCATCACCCCTCTAAAATAACATTAACCACAATATCTTATAATAAAAATAATACTGGAAATGTTTCTATAGCTCTACAGGCAGGTGATAAATTAAAGGAGAAACCTGAGAGACCTCTCTGCACATTGTACCACTATGAAAACAATGCATTAAATGATTCCATGTTGCAGCATATCTGTCAGATTAAAGGTTCAGTGTGTAAAATTTTGTGATATCTAGTGTTGAAATTGCATGTTGCAGCTGAACACCCCTCATCTCACCTTCTCCTTCCAAACATAAAAAAGAAACTGTGGTAGACTTTAATTGTCATAAAAACTGAAAAGGTGTTTAGTTTGTCCAGTCTGGACTAATGTAAAAAACATGGCGGCCTCCATAGAGAGGGTCCCCCCGATGTAAATATAAAGTTTTTAAATATATAGGGCCTTTTCTGGGGTAAAGAAAACTACAATTCATACAATTAAGATGAAACGAACTAGTGAAAACATCATGAGAATTATTCTACATTAAATTTGTGCCAATAGATCCCTTTCACCTAAATCTTACACACTGGACCTTTAAACATGAATTTTATTATATATAGTGAGAGAATAAAGTCAGAGGCCGTTTTAATGAATGGGTTTCGGATCACCCAACAGTTTTTTCGACCGCAAATAGATGGTGTACCTCAAAGTGTTAGTTTTTGTTTGCAAGAATACTTTGGTTAAAGCTTTTGTCAATAAAGTGCCTTCATCATCTTGGATTAGTGCCTCAGTATATTGTTTAAGATTATGAATGGATCCGGGAAACCACTGAAACAATACCAGGAAAAGTTATGGTAACTGTTTGACATTGAATATGGTTATTTATTCCGTTTAAGTGACACTTAATGATAGAACCAAGGCTCCACTGATAGTAATTATCGATTGTCATTGTCAACCAGCACGGCCACTGTTCAGATAACACAGATAGCAGACGTTGGAGGAATGTCATTGATTTGGTGAACATACAGCTTCTCTTCCCATGCATAGCGTTTCCCATTGTTAGTCTTGGAGATCCTTTCCAGACTGTTAATTAGAAAAGCTTTTAGTGAATTAGCCAGTGGTTACAAAGATATTAAATAGTGATGTTTATAAAGATATAGTAGATTTAAGTCAACTAGAATTGCAGTTGCACAACATTGTGCAGTATCAGTGTACATACATTTTTATTCCAGATTCATAGGAAGAAAGATATTTTTTATCCCTGCTGCAAATCCAAATCAGAGCAGACCCTGACCCCCGCACTTTGCTGCCTTGTCCGACAGACGTCTGATGTGCTCTGTCTCTCTGACATGAGAAGAAAAGCAAAAGTTTCGCTTCAGTTAATCTCTTCACTCACACAGATTGGTTTACTGGGTGGCACAATAGCTGCAGGATTACAAGTGAGACTTGGGTGACGCAC